CTCCGCTGCGCACCCTGCAGCGCGAGGGATTCAGAGCTGCATCCTGTCCCCGCAGCCGCTGCACGGCTGGCGCTGCAGGCCTGCACGGCTGGCAGCCCATCAGCAGAGGGCACGATGGCCCTGTGGCCCCACGGCCCTCCCTGCTCTGGCTGCCTTTGCAGCCCCGGCCCCGCTGACGCCTCCCTGCAGAACGGGGACTGTGGCAGCGGGCAGAGCCCACGCACGCACGGGAGCCGCTGCGGGAGCAGAGCGCGGCTTTATGAGGGTAATTGGCCCCGTCCTGGGGACCGACAGCCGTTTTCTTGCGTCTAGATCGCTCAGAAAGCTCTGGCAAGCAGCAGCAATGCCTCTCCAGGGTTGGATTTATGGCAATGATTGCATTACTAGCTCCTCTAAATGTAAAATGATTATGCATATTCAGAGCGTACTCTGCAGAGGGCTAAATTGCCAGGCTGGTTTTCATTAGCTTCTCCTCAATGCTTCAGAAGGACTGAAATTCAGCAGTTGTTCCCCAGGCAGGTTGCAATGAGGTGGCTCTGGCTTCCTCCAGGCAGCCCAGACAGCCCAGCCTGTTCTAACTCCCTGATAGCCACAACAGGGCCAGGAGCATCCCAGGAAGGGCCGAAGGGCTGCAGAGCTGCCCAGAGCTGCTGGGCTTTGGGCTGAGCCCTTCCATTCCTGAACAAAGACGCTGATAACTCCCCGCAGGACCCAAGGGCTCTTATTGCGGAGCTGGTTAAAATTCCCTCTGCAGCTGGTGCAGGGAGGAGTTTGGTGTGCGGCGAGCTGTGTGTGTGCCTGAGGTGCAAACAAGGGGCTGTTCAGACTGGCCCTGGCTGAAAACCAGGATAGGAGCCCCTGGGACACCCAGGCAGGGTGCGGGGCTGCCTGGCCAAGCTGTGCAGGTTGCCCACATTCCCCTTTTGCAAAGCAGACCGGAGCCTGCGCCACCCTCCGCCCCGGGCTCACGTGCGGCCCCGAGACGCGGGGGCCATCGGTGCCACCTCTCGCTCTGGCAGAGGCCAAGCCAGGCGCCTGCCGGGGCACGAGCCCTGGAGCCCATTTTAGCACCTCTAACCTTGAGCTCATCCTTGAGCGGGCAGCACCGTAAGCTGATCCTCGCTGCCCAGTGCCCAGGCAGCTCCCTCTCCAGCGCCCGCTCCGCAGGCCCCAGGACCTCGCTAGTGTCACTCGGGATGGTTTCCAGTCCCTTTGCCCTTCTACACCTTGGTTCCCCACCCTTTATGTCACCTACAGCACAAAGAAAACTTTTCCCTCTTGTTGCAGGATATTCTGATAAAGCTTCCCGCTGCCCCTGAAACGTGTCAGCCGTAAACTTGTTTGTCCTGTGATACGTGGGGGCTGGGTCCATGCTAAAAAGAAACCTTCTCTGATTACCATCCTCAAGGGCCGTGTATCAGCGAGCCGCAGCCCCTGCCAGGCTGGCCCTGCTCTCTGGGCCCAGGTCCAGGCTGGCCTGGCAGGAGCTGCCCAGGGATCAGAGGACGGGCAATGGGTGACAAGGTGACTTGCTGCCCTCGGCGGCGCCCAGGCGCCAGGGCATGAGGAGGGAGGGCAGCGAGCGCTGCTCGCCTCCCCGTCTCCCTGCGTACCTGACACACTCAGCACTCTGCCTGCATAGGGAGGAGATTCCCACCCAGTCTGCAGCAAAAAGGCCCAGCAGAAGGAAATGTCCTGCACTCCCCATTGGCACCACCCCTTCCCTTAGCAATGGGGTCCACAATGTCCTGAGCAGCGCGGCCGCTCCTGATGTTCCTGTTCCTCTTCTCCTCCACCCCAGCAGCTAAGATGGAGGCTTTGCACGGGAGGGAGCGTGCGGAGGAGCATCCTGCAATGCAGGTTACTCCACTTGGCATTGCTGTTCCCAGAGCACTCCAAGCAGATAACGTGAGCAAGGCACCACTTAGGCCAATATCATTTCCCCCGCTCTGATTTCCTACAGAGGACCTTCAGGTGCAGCAATGTGTCCCCTCCATGTGTCCTTTCCACGAAGAGGGGAGGAAGGGCCACAAGTGAAGCTGTTTTTCCGAGGCTGCCTGCTGAGCCTGGAGGGGAGCTGAGGCTGGACTCGTCCTGTGACACCCAGCTGACCCACGCGCTCCCTTCCAGCCTAGCCCCCTGGCTAGCGGCAAGATGCTGTGGGGCAGGAGGACGTGGGGAGCAGAGCATGGCCACGCAGTGAGACAGGGACCATCTGCACAGTCCCCAGCCCTGTCCATGGGGTGCCTGGACAGCTCTCAAGCTCCTGCGGGAGTGGAGAGCGCTTCAGCCCAGGGTCATCCTGAGGCTTCCTCCTCACAGGTGCTGCGTGTGAGATGAAGCAATTGCTTCCTCGCTCACAGCTGTGCACATCTGTAGCACCAAATGCCCTGTCCATGGCCTTAGCAGCCCATCACGGGCAGTGCTCGAGGCAGGAGGCCTGGGTGCTGCCCCAGCCTCATGCCTCGGGGTGTCCTGAAGCCGCAGGCAGCACTTGTCTTGGAGAAATCATTTTGTCACCGAGGCAGGAGAAGAATTCGAGCTGGACAAAGCACTGAAAGCAAAAGGCCAATGAGAAAGAGAGCAGCGAGTGCCTGCTAGCAGGGCACCTCGGCACAAGGGGCACCCTTGGCATGGCGAGGAGAGCACGACGGGTCTGAACCAGGAGCGAGGGACACGGAACCCAGGAGGTTCCCTAGGGAGCTAAGGAGCCCTGCTTGCAAATGCCAAATCCTCCAGAATGAAACTGATGAAACTTGTGATGGAAAATGTTCGGTGTGAGGCAGCTTCTGAAGGACTTCAGCAGTGGTGGGTTTGTCTCTCTTTGCAGGAGACGGATGATGAGGATCCGGGCACTTTCCAGTTAGGGTATTTGAAAAATCAGCAATACTGGTAAATACTTTTTTTGGCTCAGCTGACAATTGACACAGCTCCCAGCATTGCAGATAGACAATAGTCTTCACCTTTATCCCCTTGCTTTACTAGGAGAGATGTAGTCCCTGCACACCAAACCTATTCCTCGTGTCTTTTTATGGTGGGGGCAAGCTGGCATAGGGCAGAATTTGCCCCTACAGCTTCCTACCATCTCTGACCAGGTAGGAGCAACCTGGCCTTGGCAGACGGTGCTCACCAGTGCCTGGTGTTTCCCATGCCGTGCAGTGATGCAACGCTTCCAGGGAGTGCATCAAAGCCCAGAAAACACCAATGATCCCTTGGTCACTGACCCCAGGCCCATACACCACTGGGCAAGTTCAAGGTTATGGACTTTATCTTTCGAGTGTTCCTTGGCCCAAGTCCAAAATACAGCGTGGATCACCCGCAGGGCAGGGTGAGCGGCTGCTCGGATGGAGCCGAAGCTCTCAGGAGGATGATGCTCTGCAGAAGTGCCATGGAAGCACTGTTGGGGCGGCCTGGCTCGGTGTGGCATTCCTACTGCATGGAAAATCAGGACTAAGCTGAAAATGGATCCACCATGGTAGGCACCTGCATAGGCAGAGGATCTCTAAGATCAGAGGAGCCTAAAATAAAGCCAGTCCCTCTGGAGGCCCCTGCTGCTACCTCCCACTGCAGGGAGCATGGGGCACTCAGCCTCTTGTCCAGCTGAGCTTTAAGTTTTTCCAAGGACAGAGACCCTACAGCCACTTTGGGCCCCTGTCACAGTGCTTGAGTGTCCTGGTGAAGAAAAAAAAAAAAAAAACTTAGTGAATTTCTGCCAGCGTGCACAGGATCCACAGCATTTAGGAGGAGGGGAGGAGTGCAGAGGACTGAAGTGATGCAGCTCCACAGCAGCTCTGTGTTGGAGAAGCGGAGTCACTTGAGCCCAAGTGCGAGGCTTGGACTCACCCCTTTGTGCTCCACACTGCGCACATTTTCCAAGCCGTGTTGGGTTAATACAGGCATACCTTGTTATTTAAGATCTAATGCAATGCAGGATCTAATGCAACGTGGCGCACATTCATGTTGCAACACGGAGAGCTGCCATTTGCCATCTTGTTACCTGTGGTGTCCCTGCATTATCAGCTCTGGTGCAGAACTCTCAGTGGCTCAGGAGTTTCTTGCCTGTTAGCAGTGTAGGGACACAAGCCCGGAGCACCCACCACCCCATAGACACTTCAAGGATGAAGTCTGGAGCTTGGGGATGCAGTGGCAAAGAGCCCAACGCTTCTGTGCTTCCCTGAGAAGCAAGGCCACCTATGTCTGCCTTGGGGTGACTTGGTGGAAGCTCCGCTGTGGGGTTAAACAACACGGGGCTGTATGAAACGCAGCGGTACCGACAAGGGTCTGCATGGGTGGAGACAAGGCCACAGCCACCGACTCGGGGCTGGGCAAAGCTGGCTGCCATGGTGTGGGAAAACAGAGAGAAGGAGCAGGCAACAACCAAGCAGCCCCACCACCACCTCTTCTCCATCCAGGGGTTCTCTCCCTTCTCCTTTTCTAGGGGTCTTCCCAGGTGATCCTTACATCCTCACCTCTCTACCTTTACCACAACCTTCCCTTTATCCCTCAAGCAATCAGCATTATTATTTTCCTCCCTGGCCACCCTTTCCTCCTATTCCTTATTCCTACACCATGGGGCCCCTCAGGCTTGGCCGGGTGGGGACACCAGCCCTGCCGGGGACGCGGCCGGCGCACGGCGACACCGCTGGCAGGGGGCACGGGCTGGAGGGGGACCCGGGCACAGGGCCACGGCTGAGCGGGGACAGCGTTGCGGAGGGGACACAGCGCGGAGGGGGCGGCGCTGGCGGCCTCCCCGCGAGGGCGGCCCCGCTCCCGCTCCTCCTCCTCGTCCTCCTCCTCCTTTGAGGCGGCCTG